CCATGTCCACACACGGGCAGCTTGGAGGGGTCCTGGGTTTCTCCTCCTCTCCTGTCCCACCCGGGCGCTGTCCCACAGGGCTGCCCAAGGCCGCGGTGATCACGGAGCTGAAGCTGATGATGGTGGCCAGCCTGGGCCGGATCTGCGGCCTGCGGCCCGACGACGTCGTCTACACCACGCTGCCGCTCTACCACTCGGCCGGGCTGCTGGTGGGGCTGGGCGGCTGCCTGGACGTCGGTACGGACACGGAGAACATGGAGATGGGACCGGGAACGGCCAGGAGGGCGGCGGGACAGGGAGGGATGGATGGATGGATGGATGGAACGAGGGATGGATGATGGATGGATGATGGATGATGGATGGATGATGGATGGATGATGGATGGATGGATGGATGGATGGATGGATGATGGATGGATGGATGGATGGATGGATGGATGGATGATGGATGGATGGATGACGAACAACAGAGACAAACCACCCAATCTTGCTGCCCCATCCCCACGCCCTACCCCAGGAGCCACCTGCGTCCTCCGCTCCAAGTTCTCCGCCTCCCAATTCTGGCCCGACTGCCGCCGCTACAACGTCTCCGTCATCCAGTACGTGGGCGAGCTGATGCGCTACCTGTGCAACGCCCCCGAGGTGAGACCCCCACCCACCCACCCACCACCGGGTGGTCTCCTCCACGCGCCGGCCGCACCCCGAGGTGCCCCCCACCCATGTGTCCCCGCAGCGCGCCGAGGAGCGGGCGCACGGCGTGCGGCTGGCGCTGGGCAACGGCCTGCGGGCCGACGTGTGGCGGCACTTCCAGCGGCGCTTCGGGCCCGTGGCCGTGCGCGAGTTCTACGGCGCCACCGAGGGCAACGCCGGCTTCGTCAACTACAGCGGCCGCGTGGGCGCCGTGGGCCGCGCCAACGCCTTCCTCAGGGTGAGCGCCGCACGCGGGGGGAAGGTGACATGGAGGAAAAGATGAGGAATCGGATTTTGGAGGGAAGGTGACATGGAGGAAAAGATGAGGAATCGGATTTTGGAGGGAAGGTGAAATGGAGGAAAAGATGAGGAATCGGATTTTGGAGGGAAGGGGGAATGGAGGAAAAGATGAGAAATCGGATTTTGGAGGGAAGGGGGAATGGAGGAAAAGATGAGAAATCAGATTTTGAGCAAAAGTTAAAATGGAGGAAAAGATGCGGAAATCAGATTTTGGAGGGAAGGGGAAATGGAGGAAAAGATGAGAAATTGGATTTTGAGCAAAAGTTAAAATGGAGGAAAAGATGAGGAATCGGATTTGGAGGGAAGGTTGAAGTGGAGGAAAAGATGCGAAATCGGATTTTGGAGGAAAAGTTAAATGGAGGAAAAGATGCGAAATTGGATTTTGGAGGGAAGGGGGAATGGAGGAAAAGATGAGAAAATCGGATTTTGGAGTAAAAGTTAAATGGAGGAAAAGATGCGAAATCGGATTTTGAGTAAAAGTTAAAATGGAGGAAAAGATGCAAAAATCGGATTTGGAGGGAAGGTTAAAGTGGAGGAAAAGATGAGGAATCGGATTTTGAGTAAAAGTTAAATGGAGGAAAAGATGAGAAATTGGGTTTTGGAGTAAAAGTTAAAATGGAGGAAAAGATGCGAAATCGGATTTGGAGGGAAGGTTAAATGGAGGAAAAGATGCGAAAATCAGATTTTGAGCAAAAGTTAAAATGGAGGAAAAGATGAGGAATCGGATTTTGAGTAAAAGTTAAAATGGAGGAAAAGCTGCAAAAATCAGATTTTTGGGCATAAGCTGGGAAAGAAATTCTGGAAATTTTCACAAGAAGGAAATTCCAGAATTTTCCACAGAAAGGAAATTCCAGAATTTTCCGCCGGAAGGAAATTCCGGAATGTTCCACGGGAAGGAGATTCCGGAAATTTCTACAAGAAGGAAATTCCGGAATTTTCCACGGGAGGGAAATTCTGGAATTTTCGCGGGAAGGAAATTCCAGAATTTTCCAAGGGAAGGAAATTCTCGCCATTTCCACAGGAAGGAAATTCTGGAATTTTCCGCGGGAAGAAAATTCCGGAAATTTCCACAGGAAGGAAATTCTGGCAATTTCCACAAGAAGGAAATTCTGGAATTTTCCGTGGGAAGGAAATTCGAGAATTTTCCATGGGAAGGAAATTCTGGAATTTTCCGTGGGAAGGACGTTCCGGAACGTTCCTTGGGAAGGAGATTCCAGAAATTTCTACAAGAAGGACATTCCGGAACGTTCCTTGGGAAGGACATTCCGGAACGTTCCTTGGGAAGGACATTCTGGAACGTTCCTTGGGGAGGACATTCCAGAACGTTCCTTGGGAAGGACATTCTGGAACGTTCCTTGGGGAGGGAGGACGTTCTGGAACGTTCCTTGGGGAGGACATTCCAGAACGTTCTGCGGGATGAACGTTCCGGAACGTTCCTTGGGGAGGACATTCCGGAACGTTCCTTGGGGAGGGAGGACGTTCTGGAACGTTCCTTGGGGAGGACATTCCGGAACGTTCTGCGGGATGAACGTTCTGGA